CAAACATTCATATTGTTTCTGAATCTCAAAGTAAAATCTGACGCTGCGTAAATCCGGCAAGTCGAAGCTTCCGCACAGACCTCAAAGAACAACCCTGCGAGGCGCACCGGATGCAGTTATTACAGTTTAAAGTTAAACACTAATTGGGATCATGGCTTCCCGGGATTAATATCTCCCTCGGCAAACAACGCTGAGAGAAGATATAATAAGCCAAGGTACACGTATAAGCAGGGCTTCTCTTTATTTGTCTTGTCTTTGAAATGGCGTGCGATACTCGAAAATACAGTTTCGTTTGCAATGATCAAAACAGTTGAACAACATAATAAATGTGTTGTACACAGTTTTTTGGAATAAACGCTAAGCTATGCGAAATTCTATAACAGTAATTTATTTTTGAAGCAATATATTCTTAGTGCCGCTCAAATTTTAAATTACTACCTATGTATATGCCCAAATATTTAAACGATTCGTTTGTCATAATTTTGTCATGGTTAGTCGTAAGATTTATCGTATTTTCATCTAAAGATGTTCCTGAAAGCATACATTTTGTTTTGCTTGAGTTTAATTTGAGTTTATTCACATTCAACCAATTAATAATATTTTATTATACAGGGTGGCGCATCGAAAACGAAACAGAGGCATTTACTGGCAGCTCGAGGGGGACACAAGTTTGGCGAAAAATCACGTTAACACGTGCAGCCCCCTGGGCGGGGGTGACATCAATCCTAAAATATTAAATAGAAAGGGGGGTCGCGTGATACCTTATTTTAAAGGTCTTTCAATTCCCTTTATAATGATGTAAAATACATGAGCTTCAGTTCAGTAGTTTTGAAGATTTATTGATTTAAAGCTTAAAATAGAGTTTAATAGGTACATCAGATTAGTTTGTACTACTTTCAGAAGAAATTTGACTAAAAGAATTTACTCAATAAGTAAATGCTTTTCTTCACTACGCCCATGGTTTGTTTATCATTTTGTTGTTGAGATTAGCTATTGGAGCGTTTTTTTGTGGCAAAAAATGTATTTCTTGAATAAAGATATGTTTCGTTTTCGATGCGCCACCCTGTATATTACTATATGATTTTTTTGATATATGTGAATATTAATGTATCATCAGCAAATATTTGAATTTTGCAGTATTGTAAAACATCAGGAATATGGTTAATATATAAAATAATTTGCTTTAATGCTTGTTAGTGTATTGCCAATATCAGTTGTTTATTCAACCTTTAAATCCATAGTAATGCTATTTCGCTAACAATTTCTCCATTTCAATAGTCTCAAAGGCCCCCTTGAAATCCAACAACAATGTTACTGTGAACCTTGTTTTATCCATATTTCGCTTCCATTCTTCCACTACTATTTGAATTGCTGTTTCAGTAGAATATTTTTTTCTGAACCCTGCTTCAAATTTGGTCAATATGTTGTTTTTTTTTCAATGTATTCAATGATTTGTTCATATATGATTCCTTCCCAGAGCTTCTCGACCTCATGGCCAACTAACTATTCCAAATATCAAGTTTCAAATACATGTTGATTGTCATCCATTTCCAGTACTTGATTTCTTGACATTTTTCCATGTTTTAGAACCTTGAGCGACGCAGAAAAATGCCAAAAACAAAAGCAAAATACTTCAAACTTTGTTACTTTTTCTTTGTTATTTCCCACTTCCAAGTCAAACTGTTGCGTCTTAAATCATTGTTCCATGAGACAAGTATCATGCACTTGAGATATCGAAAAACAAACGAACTATCACTTCGAACGCAAATAAATATAAAATACGTCATTTTCACGGATTTGTATTTTTAAAAAGGCCACAGTTGTTAATTTTGCCTGAAACACATACAGTTATCTCAACATGAAAGCTACAGAATAAGTTTCAGATGTTACACTAACCATCTGCTGCTTCATGTCCAATAAAATATTATTCGTAGAATGTATACATTTTTTTAAATTATACTAAGTGACATATAAATCCGAACACCCAGTTTAAATGGTTTTATTTTAATAAAAGTTGGTGATTGTATTTATCTTACTGTAAATAACAAGTGAAGAAATTTTCAGCCTTATCAGTTGGACATTCCGGTTTTTATACTGCATTTTTTTAATTCACTAACGCTCTAAAAATGCATATTTCAGCCGCAGTAAAGAATCAACGTTGGCGGATTTTGGTTCTTGACATCCTTTACGATCGGTTACGATGCCTAGAGTACGGAGACCTGTACGATTTCGTCAACTTAGTGAGTTTGATAGGGGCCGTATAGTGGGACTTCGGGAAGCTGGACTTTCTTTTCGGGCAATTGCAGTTAGAGTGCAAAGAAGTGTAGACACTGTGGTTAGGTGTTGTCAGGCATGGTTTCGAGAAGGCCGTACGCAAAGAGCAAGGAGCACTGGACGCCGCCATAGAACAACAGACCGTGAAGATCGCCGCCTAAGATTATTGGCCTTAAGGGACCGTTTCTCCACTATCAGGTCCATTGCAAATGAATGGTTTGCAGAACACGGAAGACCTATTGGCATGCGAAGTGTTTACCGACGAATGAGAAGTTTTGGCTTGTTTTCATACCGGCCACACTGGGTCCTCCCTTTAACTCGAGAACACCGACGTAATCGCCTTGAGTGATGCAGACAACGGTCACTCTGGGATCAGGAATGGAACAGTATAGTCTTTAGTGACGAGTCTCGATTTTGTTTAGGCATGCACGATGGTCGTGCCAGGGTTAGAAGGCGACGTGGTGGAAGGAGGAATCCACAGTTTTTTGTTGAAAGACATGTTCATCACACTGTTGGAGTTACGGTTTGGGGTGCTATAGCTTATGGTTCCAGGTCACCTTTAATCTTCATCAGAGGTAACATGAACGCGCAGCGTTATATCCACGAAGTTCTAGAACCCCATCTTTTACCCTATCTTGACACCCTGGCAGATCCAACTTTCCAACAAGATAATGCCCGACCACACGTTGCAAGAGTCACAATAGACTTCTTTCAACATAATGATGTCACATTGTTACCATGGCCACCAAGATCTCCCGACTTATCCCCAATTGAGCACGTGTGGGATATGATGGGTAGGAGATTGCTCAATTTGCAACGTCCTCCTCAGACTCTAGAAGCACTTCGAGAGGAGTTGGTGGTTGCCTGGAATGAGATACCACAGGAGGACATTGACCACCTGATCAGAAGCATGTCTAGGCGCGTTGGAGAATGCGTAGCACATCACACATTATTAAAGGTCAAAGGGCTTTAAAGCAGTGCAATCATGTTGAAATTTTTATCATTCACTTATTATGCTTCATTAAGTACTTATACAAAATTTTATTAAAATAAAACCATTGAAACTGGGTGTTCGGATTTATATATTTCGGAAAGCTAAATTGTCTCTTGTATACGGTACACCCTGTACATAGTATGTACTTTGTCATCATTACCAAATAATTCCTCATTAGTAGCATAGGAAAATTATCTGTATTCTGTGTACAATACACCTAGCATGCTTGATTGTGGGATCGTAATCTAACGCCAGAGACAGCTGAAGGTATTATACGGCTGTTACGACATTGAATACGGAATCAAACGACTGTGATACCACTGTTTGGTTCTACATGTATATGTATTCATCAATTATCTGGAGTTTCGTGGCGCTTGCTTCTGCAGTTGCAACTCTGATTCACAGGAGGCTGCCAGGGGGGCTGTGGCCTCCTGAGAATACGATTGGACCTTATAATTGCATGGTTTTGTGGACAATTTTTGAGATTTTAGATCATTGCCCCCTAAAATAATATTATATATATAAATCTCAAGTTTTCCTCAACCATATGAATATAGGCCAGGAAAATCAGTTAATGGATTATGTGAAAAGTCCAAGGACCCTACGAGGTTTGAAGACCAACGTTGCCAACATAACGTCGAAATCGGATTTTTCATTGAAGGGGAAACCGGGGCAAGTTGTCACAATGTTCAGTAATTCTTTTTTTTATTCGATCTGAAGCGTTATATGCACATATTTGGTGCATAACTAATATGGTTTATCCTTTGGGAACACTATGTAAAATCGATAAGGCTGTAAAATAATTCACAATATTAAATTAAAATGTTTTCAAAATACAGAAACAAATGTGACGACTTGTCCCTCGCTGGGGCTGGATGTCGCATTGCTTGGAGTTGGTTCACGTGTATCTTAGATCATTAATAATTTATATCATACTTTTAAACATATTTATTTTTACAAATAAAACATACGACATAAAGATTTGGTATCTAAATGAGAAGAAAGTAGAAGAGTTTTTTTTACAATTAGTCACTATCGCAGTTATGACATATGTAAAGTTCGCGTTCATCAGTGCACGCAACATGAGACCAACCATTACACGATGAGCATTTCACTCATTCTTCATTTGATGCGCTGTTAGAAAATGGTTCAAGACAAATCAAGCAAAAACATTCTTCTCCATCAGTTTCATCATCTGAACAGGACTTTTTCTGGATCAAAACGTCCCTTTTCACTGTTTCCCTGTTCGTCTTTTTCTTGTTGTTTGTCAGTGAGTATTGCAGTTCCTCGTTTACGACGGGAAACTCGATTCATTTTTCTTGCCGATGCCTTTGGATAAGGTCTTAAACTTTCTCGAAATACTATATTTCCCGCATGCAGCCTTACTATACTACTACAGCAGGGATCATCAAAACTATAGTCAACGCCAAACAAAGTGGCGTGCACGTCATCAAGGTGGGTGTGTTGAAAAATTTACATTGTTGCCAAACTTTTTGTAAAATAATAAAATTTATTATTTACATATCTAGGTTTATAAGCAATATTAACCTCAAATGAGAACAAAAATAATAGTATAATAAAATTATAGATCTGTACTTGCATAATCATTAAGTATGACAATTATTGATCAGATGACACTATGAAACTACCATATTTAATTGATAGCTTAAAGGTACTGAATAAAAATCCAAATGGGGTCCTCCAAATTTTACGCATGGTATTTATTTTACAGAATTCATACAGAAAAATGCATTCTAAAATTAGGTAAGCTACTGGTGTAAGCTTTTTCTGTACAATAAAGTTAGTCGGAGTGTCTTTCTTCAGCGCTGTCTGAATCTGAATCTTCATCACTCTCAAAGCTGATTATTAAAGGTTCGATGTCTGGTCGATCAAAAATTCGTTCTCTTTCATACCATTTAAAAATTTCTTGCTCAGTATGTCGAACACTATTTTTCCACATGTCTGGGGTAACCGTTTGTAGAGCCTCGTTCCACATATCCAAACAGTCTTTTTCACTGTTACCATCTCTACCAATATGTCTGTTATAGTAACCTTTTGCTATGCCCCAAATTAACTCAATAGGGTTAAATATACAATGGTAAGGAGGCAGACGAAGAACTTTGTGCCCATGTTGTTCCGCCAATTCATCAATCACGTATATTTTAGGTGGTTTGTTTCTAAAAAAGCAGTTATTTTAAGAATAGGAATAAACAAAAGAAATATAAACTGTCGACCAAAATATATATAATTAAGAAGCATTATGTACCGAGCAACAATACTCAATAGCTCTGTTTTAAACATTGTGTTTAAAAATGGTATGTTTTGATTTGTCAACCAGTCTTGGATATTTTTTTTTGTCCATGCATTGTTGGGCACTTTGTTCAATATCATGCTGTGATAAGGGGCGTTATCCAGTATAATCATAGATGGACTCTCCAATTTTTCTAATAACTGATGTTGAAACCATTTCAAAAAATTGTCCTGGTTCATCTCTCCATGGTAATCGCTCAATTTTGTTTTCGAGGAAAATATCGCTTCACTACCCTCAATAAACCCATTTTCATTTCCAGCATGTAATATAATGTATCTAAAATATATTAGTTTTAAATTTTATAGTGCAAATTGTGTAAAAGTACATACCTTTTACCATCTGTTTTAATAGCTTTCACGCTTTTTTGGTTTCCATTTTGCCAAGAGCGACCTATGGTCCCATTTTGAAATATCCAAGTTTCATCGAGGAAGACAAACTGGTATAAGGCCTCAACCTTGGCTTGATTGTATTGCCTTAGAAATTCCACCCTTTTCAAAGCTATACTTGGTAGTTCCATGAGCCCTCGTCGCGGATTGTCCTTAAGCCACTTAAATCCAAGATCTCTAAGCAACCGCCTTAAAGACGTGGCACTACCATCAAATAATGCCCTATCTCTTAATCGGGACCATAAAGTTTGTATCGTAACTTGTTCTTCTGAAACCATGTGTAATATGACATTATAATTTAGTTAACAAATTAATGCAAATTTCTGATAAGTTATTATAATAAGATCTTACTTTTGTGATACATATTATAGATCACTTCTCGAATGGCACTTGTATCCAATGTCGCTGTGTTGGTTACACGTTTAATATAACTCCGCTTTTTCTTGGGCGATTCTAAATTTGCATCACTTTTCACACCCTCGGAAATACGACTAACTGTCCTTAAACTAATTTTTAAAGCAGCAGCAACACGCTACAAAAAATGAAATAAAATTTCACTATTATTAATATACATTACATATAATTATTAGTAACCTACCTCTTGAACAGCATTTAAAGGCAACAAAGGCCCGTTGTTGTCCCTTTCTTGCTCAAAGTAGTGCATTAACGAGGCCACGAGTTCCTTACACCGACTATTTAACTGTTTGGGCATCTTTTGCCTTTATCTACTCGTAAAATGAATAATTTTGTTTTGAAACAAACAGTTGTTGATTTACAGTATGCGGGGCCAAAGGATTTATAAAGATTTGAAATGCCACAAATTGATTCAGTGTCAAAATTAATACAAATGTCAGTTCCCAGTTTAAATAAGTTTCAAGGTGACAATGTGTCAACGCTGCGAAATCGGTTTAGTGCGTTTACACGTCGATAAGTGATTGGAGCGTTTGCAAAACATTTTACTTCGCATAATGCGTCTAAATTTATCAGAAAGCAACTTATGTGATATTTTAATAACAATGTTTATATGACTATTAACCATAATAAGAGAGTAATGACCATTTTACAATTTATATATCACATTAATATGAAACTGCAATAGAGCAATTGTTTGTGATAGAAACCTAGGCATTAGGACGGGGAATTTTTATCGTGATGACGTGCACGCCACTTTGTTTGGCGTTGACTATAATCGTCTAGTGTGGTGGCTGGTTGTCCCATGTGACAAGAGGCCCCCGCTAATTTGAGACAACCTGCCCCACTAGATAATTAATTTTTAAGGTTAGATAGCGTCACTAAATTAACACATTCAAAGTCAATACTTACGTTAAGTCGTATTCGGATTATTGAAGAGCAAAATAAATTCAACAGTTCTTTTTATTATCAAATGTAGTCTTGAGAGCACAAATTATGTGGCAAACGAAAATGACGAGGAACTGCAATACTCACTGACAAACAACAAGAAAAAGACGAACAGGGAAACAGTGAAAAGGGACGTTTTGATCCAGAAAAAGTCCTGTTCAGATGATGAAACTGATGGAGAAGAATGTTTTTGCTTGATTTGTCTTGAACCATTTTCTAACAGCGCATCAAATGAAGAATGAGTGAAATGCTCATCGTGTAATGGTTGGTCTCATGTTGCGTGCACTGATGAACGCGAGTAGATACTGGTGCACTCTGGGCGCCCCCCACCACTTCCACTTTTTGGCCACGCCCACCACATCCACCGCGTGCTCTGATTGGCGGATCAAACGGCGGGAAATTTGAACGGGGTTGATGGTATATGTTGATTGGCGGGAACCGCTAGATCCACCGCGTGCTCTGATTGGCGGATCAAACGGCGGGAAATTTGAACGGGGTTGATGGTATATGTTGATTGGCGGGAACCGCTAGATCCACCGCGTGCTCTGATTGGTGGATCAGACGGCGGGAAGTTTGAACGGGTTGATGGTATATGTTGATTGGCGGGCCCCGTTAGATAGCGCACCCGACCGGAAGTGATTCAGACAGCCGACGATAGTAAGGTGTAGTATAACGTCTATGCGTAAGCGATGTGACTCATTTCATGTTTTGCGGTAAATATTTGCATATAGATCGATAAAAGCCCATGAATAATGATATTTATAGATGCAATTCTGCTGATTCAGTTTAAATGGAAAAACGTATAAAATTCGCGGGAAACAATGCGTATAGGATGATCTCAATAATCAACACGTCATATTCAGTGTGCATATAAAAATGGAATTGCTCATATATGTGGTGCATACAGTTAATGTTAGTTAATTTTTAACATTGATACAATATTGAAAACCTACGTCGCAAATGAGGTTAGGTTCAGGGCAGGTGTTGTCGTAGCGGTGATATGCAAGAAGTACCGGGCGGGGCTGTTAAGCATGGGTGAATGGGCAGGAAGCGCAGGCTGTCAACGAGTTAATACTGACCAACGATAACAGCGGTGACCTTGAAACACTGTGGTCAGTTAAAAAGTGGTGGGGGTAAAATCGAGATTATAAATACCTATGAATCACCGCAAATTATCTTGTCAGTTATCTGCAGCGAACAGACGTGCTCAGTTCAGATTTAGTCGCTAGTTAACCTTTTAGTTTTTAAAAAATGGAAAAATTCTTCATCGTTAAGGATTCTACTAAGAAGATTAAAAAATTTAATCTATATGGGCGAGAAGTGGAATTTAAAATACGACCTATCCCTAAAGACGTCGAACCTGTGGGATGGATCAAAGACGCTCTGGAGGAAATAGTAGCCAAAGGAACTGAACATCTCCAGCCCAGTGATCAAGTTGGATTCACTTTCTGTTCCAAAGACTTTACCCGCGGTCAAGGATGGATAGCTTTTAAAATGTTTTCCGACGTTTCAACTGAGGACATATGGGAGAAGATATCTTCCATCTATCAGTCAAATTCTGTGGGGTTGAATACCGAGACTTTTTGCTTGGGTATTACGTCCGTAAGGTTGCCTGCTGGTCGTGGTAGAGCTCAGAATTTCAATACCTTTGATGAGGAATGCGCCAAAAGAAAAGGCATTATCACCGTTAAAAACACCGATAATTTGTGTCTCCCACGAGCCCTTGTCATCGCCATGGCCCATTTGAACAAAGACAAAGATTATAGCAGAATCCGCCGTGATCGAGGAAAAAATACAAGGACAAAGAGCTGTACAACTTGTGGAAAAGGCTGATATTGTTATCCCTGAGGAGGGGTGTGGAATACCTGAACTTCAAAAGCTACAACGATATCTGCAAAACTACAAAATTGTTGTATACAAGTTTGGGTGCAAAGGTCGTGACGTCATTTTTGAAGGCGTGTCCGCTGGTCCGACGCTTAACCTAATATATCACGAGGGGCACTACAGCGTCATAACATCCCTCACTGCTGCCTTTTGCTGCAGCTTTTTTTGTGAGAACTGCCACATTCCGTATAATACTAAACAAATTCATAGATGTGATAAACAATGTTATGCTTGTAAAAGATCTCCGGCCTGCCTGAAAACGAAGCACATCAAATGCAAAGAATGTAATAGAAGCTTTTATGGACAAGAATGTTTTAACGCTCATTTACCATCGGTCTGTTCTAAAATTAAAAGATGTGTAGACTGTTTTAAAGTTCACAACGGTAATGATCACATCTGCGGATATATACTTTGTAAAACATGTTATAAAAATCAACCAATTGAACATATGTGCTATATACAGCCTGACAGAAGTATTCCTAAATCAAATGATGTCTTATTAATATTTTACGATTTGGAAACCCGTCAGGAGAAGGAATTACCCAATGGATCTTTACTGCATGAGCCAAATCTATGTGTATTCAAACAATGTTGTGAATCATGTACCGATAATCCTATATGCAAGAAATGTGGCCTTCGAATACAGATTCTTCGATGTCAAGACGTCATTTCTCCATTTATGCATCATATTCTGACACTTCGTAAAAAATTCAAGAAAGTCATTGTACTGGCGCATAATGGTGGAGGATTTGATCATCAGTTTCTACTTCGTTACATTTTAGAGAAGACTAGTCTGTACCCGAATGTAATTATGAGAGGAACAAAATTAATATTGATGGAGGTAGGAAATGTAAAATTTCTGGATTCTCTCAATTATTTTCCTATGCCTCTAACTGCTCTACCCAAGGCGTTTGTTTTGAAAGAGCTAAAGAAAGGATACTTTCCACATTTATTCAACACTTTGGCTCATCAGAATTATGTAGGGCCAATTCCAGCGCTCGACTTCTACGATCCCGACCATTTAAAGGAAGACGCTCGGGAAAAATTATTAAAATGGCATGGCGAAAGACAAGCGGAGGGATACGTTTTTGATTTTCAGAAAGAAATCGTTGAATACTGTATCTCCGATGTGGAAATATTGACACAGGCGTGTCTCAAATTTCGAGACCTGATGAAAACCGAAACCACAGTCGATCCCTTCCAGGAAAGCACCACTATTGCATCATGCTGTAACAAAGTCTTTAGACGCAATTTTTTAAAACCTGAGACGATCGGGGTAATTCCAAAAGGGTTCTATAGATGGCGTGAAAATCAGTCAAAAATTGCCATCCAATGGCTGTTGTGGGAGGAACATCAAAGAGGAATCAAAATTCAACACGCCGCTAAGGGTATAGAAACCATTGTTAAGGGACATAAAGTAGACGGTTTTTGTAGCGACACAAATCAAGTGTTTGAATTCCAAGGATGCTATTTTCACGGTTGCCCTCGATGTTTCAAATACAAAAGAAGCAATCCTCTGCATAATGATCCGTTGAATACATTGGAAAGTCGATACGAACAATCAGTTAGCAAAGTAGAGAGACTCCGAAGCCTTGGACTAGAAGTAATTGAGATATGGGAATGTCAATTTCGAGGAATGCTAAACGATGAAATTAGAGCCTTCACAGAAGCACATCCATTGATAATCAATTTACCGATTAACCCCAGAGACGCTCTCTACGGGGGACGTACAGAAAATATCGTTGAATACTACAAGATCAAAACAAATGAATGCATAAAATATGTCGATATATGTTCCCTGTACCCCTTCATCTGTAAATATGGAAAATTTCCGGTGGGTCATCCAAAAAAATTTACGTAGGTGAAGAATGTGTTACAGCCTCTCTGTCGCAGATGTCAGGACTTATTAAATGCCAGATTCTACCGAACCAGAACTTATATCACCCCGTTTTACCGTCAAAAATGAACAACAAATTGATGTTTGTTAACTGTCAAAAATGTGGTGAAGATTTCGTTCGAGAAGAGTGTCAGCATTCTATTCAAGAAAGAAGCCTAAAAGGAACTTGGGTGATAGAAGAGGTGCTCAAAGCTATTGAAAAAGGTTACCAGATTATAGAGACTTACGAAATATGGGAATACGATACAATTCAGCTCAGTAAAGACCAAGAGGGGTTATTTAGCGGAATGATGAACAAGTTTCTACAAATAAAACAACAAGCTTCAGGATGGCCCAAACATTGCTTAACGGATGAAGAAAAAAACCGTTATATTGATGCATTTTTGGATAGAGAAGACATAAAGCTGGAATTTTCAAAAATTATAGAGAACCCCTGTTTGAGATCGTTAGCTAAACTTATGCTGAATTCCTTTTGGGGTAAATTTGCTCAAAAAGAAAACCAAAACAAAACCTCAATAGTCAGAGACTGTGGTGAATTCTTTGATATGCTGACTAATCCTTCTATTCATGTAAATACAGTTCTCCCGGTAAACGAAGAAACCCTTCTCATAACTTGGGAATTTAGAGAAGAGGCCTATGACGTTTCTTCAACGGTTAACGTTGTATTGGCTTCATATGTCACGGCCCTAGCTAGACTAAAATTATATTCATTCTTGGAGAAAGTGGAAGAAAGGGCAGTTTACGTAGATACAGATTCATGTATTTATATCTCTCGTAAGGGATTAGACGACATATCTACAGGCGACTTCATAGGTGATATGACCGATGAGCTCAATGGGGGTTTCATATCAGAGTTTGTTTCTGGAGGACCTAAGAACTACGCCTACAAATATACTACTTTGTCTGGAGAGGAACAGATCGTATGTAAAGTAAAAGGCATATCACTCAACTACAAGGCATCCCAAGTAGTCAATTTTGAGAAAATAAAAGACATGGTGCTGAAGAAATCTGATCCTGTTTCTGTACTTTCTCGACAGCTACGACGTACAAGAGAGCATGCAGTAGTAACAGTCGAGTTTCCTAAGGTATACAAGATAACTTCAATGAAAAGGAAATTCTATGAAGATCATACCTCTGTACCATTTGGATTTAAGAAAATAAAGTATTGATTTATTAATGTATGTAAATATTTTTTAATAAACATGTAAAATAAAATGTATGCAAATGATTTTTTGTTTTTTATTTCCAGCCTAATTGAAAAATATTTTTGCACCCGAAATTGTTCAGCCTTTTTACTCCATATAAAATATTTAAAAGTATGCATTGTTATTATTAAACGCCTGCAGTAATATACACCAAAAAAAATTGAGAAGCAGTGTAACCATGTGGAACTTTGTATAATCACAAAAAACATATCTTGGAAAATAAAAAATACAGCAGATTCATAAGCAGTGTAGAGAGGAAACTACGTAAAAGTAATCGATTATTACTAATAAAATAGAGTTTTGAATTCCTATTTTTACAATAATAATCATTTTACTATCTTACGTGTTGGGCACTGCACTGCACGGGTACCAACACTGTACTGCACGGGCACGAAAAATTGAGAAGCATGATAACCATGTAGAACTTCGTATCACTACGTAAATGGTTATTACGAAAAGTAGAAATAAAAACTATATTTTCGATAATAGCTATACTATTTTTTATGAGCACCGAAAAAATTGAGAAGCACAATAACCTCATAGAACTTCGAAACAGCACCAGAGACAACCGAAGGCTACAGAAAAAAACACATACTGAAAAGGCATAACATCTATCAGCGCTGGTATCCGATAATACTGTTTCCTTTGACATTCGTTGGGATATGAAAACACATATTTGCTTCCCACCGTTATAACGGAAATAATAGTTACTGCAAAAGCAGTTTCACGATAAGACCATACATTAATCTACAAAGTTGATAATAAAACATATGTACTATTAAAATGCAGATATTTTTAAAATTATACAATTAAAAAATCAAAATAATATATTATAAATGGTAGGGGATACAGGGTAAACACCGAAATATACTTAATTTAGAATAGTTACTTATAATCTCCTCAGTTCTTTGGTCAGCCGTATCGACAATTTACCGGTGGGTCCTCTATTTTTGTGCATGTAAAAGGTTAGACTATGGCGCTAGCAAAAAAAACAAAATGCAACAAAGTAGAGTCACTTAATATTCTTGTTGAAATTACGGATAGAATATGGTAGAAAGTAACAATCAGATATTGTAGAAGCCATGTAATTGTTTAATTGTTGAGGAAAAAGTATTTTTCATACGCTGACCATGTTTATGTCCGCTTGGTACGCGACCAGATCTTTTCCAAACCTTTGCCCGTAGGGTTCATGAGCCTACGACCAAATGTGTCGTCGAAGGGGCATTTTTGGCCAAATTCGGTCGAAACCGATGCTGCGTTCGTACCCTAGAGCCTACGAACAGTGACTCAAACTTAATTTTAATTGATATGCAAAGATCTGGCTAGAATGCTTGAGCTAGTGATTATATGCAATTTATCGGTGACGAGCTTTCCTCTAGCATATCTTGATTTATTCAAGCGAATCAATGAGAAACTAGTGAATAAAATTACCTGACAGCCATAGTACAAGTTGGTATATCTACACCTTCTCTTACATTTGGCGCCACTAAAATGTTAATCTCCTTGTTTCTAAAAACGATCAAGTACTTATCTGTTCTTCTTATTAATCGGAAGTGATTCTACGGTGCTATTAAAAGAGTTTCCGTTATATCCCACAACGAAATCCGGCTTTATATGTCTGAACTCTGGTACATGTTCACTCAAATCTTTCAGTACATGGTGCAATATTTTTGGCAGTTGATCTTTCCTTCGTGAATATTAAACCACAAATGTCTTCGTTTGAAGATGAACTGTTGAAAAGTGTTACGTTTATATTAGTATTAATATTTATGACATTTACTTTTTTAAAATAGTTAAATGTTTCTGTAACCCAATTTAGGTATGTATAGCAAGTCTTACGCAAGACAATAATAAAAACAGATAGAATTCGAGGGCGATTCTTGGAAGAAAAATTCATAGTATTTCTAAGGCAACACCGACCGGAGTGCTATAATTTTAGCATACATTTACAGGTTATAGGTCTAATGATAAATAGAAAGTGATTAAAATTTTAACTTCAATTTTCGTAAAATAGCTGAGATATGCCATCTTGCAGTAGCCTGAAATGAAATACCCGACAGGTTACCCATCACCTGATAGTCTGTGGTTCTCGCCGCTAGATGACGCTACATACAAACGTCATCTGTCAAACGTTATGTGTATCATTGATAAGTGTGAGTTGTGTCTCTAAGCGCTAGATGGTGTCGATGTCGCACTGGTGTCGTAGAGTGACCCACATACAGGGGTCGATAGAAATTTTTGGGGCCCTACCGACGGGTCGATGAACCGACGGTATAACGTCAGATCGAAATAAGCTCCATTCACATGGGAGGTGTGTGTGGAATTGCTCGTGGGAGACACGGACCTTGTCGTATATAGCAAGACGTGTCCTAAAATGGTGATACCCATTGGTCGCTCAGCCATACAGGTCGGTCAGACAGAAGTTTTTGGGACCGGGGTGCTCTGATTGGTGGATCAGACGGCGGGAAATTTGAACGGTGTTGATGGTATAGCTGAATGGTGGACGGCGGGGTCGGGTGCGTTGGTAATCACCTATGTCGCAAATGAGGTTAGATAGATAGTCGTTCAGTGAAGGTGTTGTCGTAGCGGTGATATGCAAGAAGTACTGCTCGCGGGGGTGTCAACGAGTTAATATTGGCCAACGATAACAGCGGTGACCCTGGAACACTGTTGTCACACGGTTGCAAAAGATGACAGGTTATCTCTTAATTTTCGTAAACAACGATTTTTCTAAAGTGGTAAAAACAGGTCGAAATTTTAAATACCTATGAATCACCGCAAATTATCTTGTCAGTTATCTGCTGCGAACAAAACATGCTCAGCTCAGACTTATCTAAAAAGTGGTGGGAAAATCGATATTATAAAAATATTTATGAATCACCGCAAATTCTCTTAGACGTGCTCTTATCAGTTCAGACTTAGTTAAAACTGGAGGGTAAAATCGAGATTATAAATACCTATGAATCACCGCAAATTACCTTGTCAGTTATCTGCAGTGAACAGACGTGCTCAGTTCAGACTTAGCAATTCCCAACGCTCCTCCGTGGCCATTCCCCTTACCCTCTCGCGAGTGCGGGCATGCGCATGCGGCTCGTTCTGGTCTATAGACATATGATCGCTAATGATCTTGAACAAAGATGTCCTGATACACGAACCGCCAGAGGTACATCAGAAGTAATGTTAGTATTGTGTGTGCGTGTTTTTTGAACACGCTAAGTCGTGATGTACATCACGTGACGTACGTCACGTGACCTACGTGACGTGCGTGTGACAGGTGACGTACGTGTGACAGGTGACGTGCGTCACGTGACACGTGACGTGCACACTTTGTTCAAAAATACCAAAAAGCTGTCTTGATAGCCCGAACCGCCAGAGGTACAACATCAGAAGTAATGTTAGTGCGTGGTTGAGGTTCAAAAACTTAGCGTGTTCAAAAAAAAAAAAAACGTACCTAGACCAAAAGTCATTCTAGACCAGTCACTCTAGACCAAAGCACAAAAAAAAACGCCGTTTTTCAACGCCTTTTTTGTCACCATTCCCCTTAGTAGCGCGCATGCACATGGGGCTCGTTCTGCTGGTGCTGGTGCTGGCGCGGGCGTAGATAGCGTTTGTGGTAAGGGTTGGGGGTAGGTCTTGTTCTCTTATCGCGCACGAGTAAGTTTGTTTGTTGTGTACCATAGGATAGTGGTAAGAGAACAAGACCTACCCCCAACCCTTACCACAAACGCTATCTACGCCCGCGCCAGCACCAGCACCAGCAGAACGAGCCCCATGTGCATGCGCGCTACTAAGGGGAATGGTGACAAAAAAGGCGTTGAAAAACGGCGTTTTTTTTGTGCTTTGGTCTAGAGTGACTGGTCTAGAATGACTTTTGGTCTAGGTACGTTTTTTTTTTTTTTGAACACGCTAAGTTTTTGAACCTCAACCACGCACTAACATTACTTCTGATGTTGTACCTCTGGCGGTTCGGGCTATCAAGACAGCTTTTGGTATTTTTGAACAAAGTGTGCACGTCACGTGTCACGTGACGTACGCCACGTGCGTCAAGTGTCACGTGACGCACGTCACGTGCCACGTGCGTCACGTGTCACGTGACGCACGTCACCTGTCACACGTACGTCACCTGTCACACGCACGTCACGTAGGTCACGTGACGTACGTCACGTGATGTACATCACGACTTAGCGTGTTCAAAAAACCACGCACACACAATACTAACATTACTTCTGATGTACCTCTGGCGGTTCGTGTATCAGGACATCTTTGTTCAAGATCATTAGCGATCATATGTCTATAGACAGAACGAGCCGCATGAGCATGCCCGCACTCGCGAGAGGGTAAGGGGACATGGCCAAGGAGGAGCGTGGGAATTGTAAGTCTGAACTGAGCACGTTCTGTTCACTGCAGATAACTGACCAAGGTAATTTGCGGATGATAATAGGTATTGTATAATCGCGATTTTACCCTACAGAAGTGTTTAACTAAGTCTGAACTGATAAGAGCACGTCTAAGAGAATTTGCGGTGATTCATAAATATTTTTATAATATCGATTTTCCCACCACTTTTTAGATAAGTCTGAGCTGAGCATGTTTTGTTCGCAGCAGATAACTGACAAGATAATTTGCGGTGATTCATAGGTATTTAAAATTTCGACCTGTTTTTACCACTTTAGAAAAATCGTTGTTTACGAAAAAGAGATAACCTGTCATCTTTTGCAACCGTGTGACAACAGTGTTCCAGGGTCACCGCTGTTATCGTTGGCCAATATTAACTCGTTGACACCCCCGCGAGCAGTACTTCTTGCATATCACCGCTACGACAACACCTTCACTGAACGACTATCTATCTAACCTCATTTGCGACATAGGTGATTACCAACGCACCCGACCCCGCCGTCCACCATTCAGCTATACCATCAACACCGTTCAAATTTCCCGCCGTCTGATCC